GCATTAATATGCTGACACCATGGAATTCAAAATCCTTTGTGAAGTGTAGCGGTAGTCATATTAAAGGTTAAATTTGCTCCTCCCAAAATTGTCAATATCACATCAATAGCTTTAATACTGTTGCAATGAGTTAAAATTAAACTCCAACCAGTGTCCAATATAAAAATTTATTTAATAACTTAATTGTATACTTTCTCGAGTGAGTCACAGTTCCTTAGTTTGAGATAAAAACTGGTAAAGCTTTTCTTAATCAATCAAACTGCAGTAAACTAGGAATCACCGACTTGAAAAATTACGTTGCACGTTTCATGGTATTCTAGCATATCATCATATTTAATTCTAGTTAATATTACATCATAGTTAATAATCACCTATTTAATTAAAATATTATTGAAAAAAATTATAAGTGGTAATGCAGGGCTATTACAACAATACACAGGCAAAATTCGTATATAACTTCGACTTGGTTGTTTTGGCGTTTTCAACCGATTTCGACTACGGTACTTGTCTCTCTGGTCTTTACCTGTAGTTTGATCTCCCTGAATTTTTTGCTGGCGAGCTTATTAATCCTGCAACGAGAGGGTTGAAACGCATGACTACTCATGAATTCGGATTTACAAAGCCCAGTCATGAAATATTTTGCGTTAACGTATATGCTAGATTCTTGTTTAATTTGTTTTTTACGATAGCATGTTTGTTAAGTGATAACTAAATACATACAAAGAATACGTTTTCCCAACTCTTAGGGTGCGTTCAGAATCAACGCCGGGCGACGCTGAGCGTTTGAATTACATCCCATATATTTGAGATTTTCAATGAATTTCAACATCCTAGCGATAAAGAATAGTTGGAAAATCCCACCTTATCAGCGTTATTCCTAGTTAGTTTAGGTACTTCAGTTTTCTAACGATTACGTAATTGAATTGCGATTATGGCATCGTCCTAAAGAAAGATCCTAAAAAGGAAACCTAAAGATCTTACTATAAAAAGCAAAATAGAGAGTAGATATGATTAGAAAAGGATGAGGAAAGAGATGGGAATCATCGAAGGTAAGCTGGAAAAGGCAGAAAAGGAAAGAAGGAGGAATAACCTAATAATGCACAGTTCAATATTCTAGCGACCCGTGAGATGATTGAAGGAAAATGCAGCCTTACAATATCGGAAATTATTGCACACGTTGGAATATGGTGCGGGATGCTCAATCAATCATTTCAGATGATTTGGGTTACCGAAAAGTAACCCAAGAAAACAAACCGTCCTGCCGTTTGTGAAAAACTTTTGGCACGATATCGAACAAAGGGAAATGCTTTCTTGAGTAACATTGTCATCAGTGATGAGATGTGGGTTCATCATTACACCTCGAAGTCTAAGCAGGGAAGCGTGCAGTGGCGAAAACCTGGAGAAGCTGCACCACGGAAAGCCAAGACTCGTCTTTCTTGTAACGATTTATCGATCTATCGACGAAAAAGACGAGACATGCTTATTCGATGCTTATTCGATTTTTAAAATACTGGAACATCTGCCATACAGTCCCGATCTGTAGCCGTGTGACTACCATATGTTTGGGCCACTCAAAGAAGAAGTGGGAGGTCATCACTTTGACGACGATGTAGAAACATTCGTAGGCAATTGGTTATTTAATTGGAATTAATAAACTTCCAATTCGGTGGGACAAATGTGTGAATAAAAGGGGGCATTGTATAGAAAAATAAGGTGTATTCCAAAGTTTATTTACTATAACAACAAATGTTCTAAAACAAAAGTCCAATTCATATTTGATTCGCTCTCGTATATGTATATTTAACTGATTAAAATATATATTTAGGTCATTTTCTATGTTATTTTCGAAACCCCCAACAATTTCACCACTATAATACGAACTACCTATTTTATTCTAGAAGTATAGCATTCTTGATCCTAGACTTCACTAACCATTCATGAAATTCTTCTAGAATTTGCTTCCATCTAGATAACAGTTGGTACCGGTATTCCTTTTATATACTTTTCTTACGATGAACTTTACTTGCAATGTTATTTACTAGGAATGAAGTTGTAACACAATAACATGATAAGCCGGCTTAACGAGCTAAAACTGCTAATGCTGAAGATTACATATACAGTATGTCCCCGGATGGACTTACAAAGAGGAAAAAAATTTTTGTTACTGGTTTTTCAAACTTATCTCAGCATAAATAATGCGTCGGATATGTTCAAACCACTAAATCGCACGAACTTTATATTCTAACTATAGAAGTTAACTAATTATTCCCATTTTTATGTAAAAATTATACTTTTCCCAAGGACAGTAGAATCTAACAGGACTGCTACATCCATTGTTGTGACAACCTGCCCGCAAACTACGTCACATCATTTTCCACGCCCAGCTGTTGTTATGGTCTATGCGTTTGCTGTGTTTTTAGAGGTTATATCCTAGACTTATTCATATTATTTTTGAAGTTTTATGTTTTTAGACGTATTAATGTCTATCATATAACCTCTAAAAACACAGACAGTTACCAGGCGTGGCAAATAGTGTGACGTAGAGCGCGGGCAACCAACCCGTAGTGGACTACAAAAATACAATGGATGTAGCAGTCCTGTTAGATTCTACTGTCCTTGTACTTTTCCTAAATTAAAAATTTTTTAAGTTCAATTTACGATACGTAACCATAGAAACCAATAAAATAAAATAAAAGTTATAACTTATGTTAGTGAAAAATATACGGACAAATCAAATTAAAATATGGCTAATTGAATAATAGTATATTATTCAACAAGCGTATAATGGCGGCTGTTACCCACGAAGATGAAGTTGCAACACGAGCGAGCGAAACGAGCGAGTATTGTAATCTGAATGGGTAACATCCATTATACGCAAGCTGAATACTATACTTTATCTACAACTAATTAATTTAGAAAAAAAATCAAAGAAAGAAAAAAAAAACTTGATAGACATTTCAGACATAACCTCAATATAAGAAAGCTGTCATTTCTGTTAATATTTTATTTTTTGATTAGTAGGCTGTGTCAGAACTGTGGAATAATGGCTTCATTATTCAATACTTTGTCAGTCATGAGTAATGCGTGTCATTACCCGTCAAAAATCAAATGTATAATGAATAGATAATTCAATAGTTGTAGATAATAGTATATTATTCAACGAGCGTATAATGTCGGCTGTTACCTACGAAGATGAAGTTGCAACACGAGCGAGCGAAGCGAGCGAGTGTTGTAATCTGAGTGGGTAACATCCATTATACGCAAGTTGAAAACTATACTTTATCTACAACTATTTAATTTTGAAAAAAGAAACAAAAAAAGGAAAAAAAAATAAACTTGATAGACATTTCAGACATAACCTCAATATAAGAAAGCTGTCAATTCTGTTAATATTTTATTTTTTGATTAGTAGGCCGTGTCAGAACTGTGGAATAATGGCTTCATTATTCAACACTTTGTCAGTCATGAGTAATGCATGTCATTACCCGTCAAAAATCAAATGTATAAGGAATAGATAATTCAATAGTTGTAGATAAAATATTTTAAATGAAAATTTATGTAATAACACACTATGTAAGTAATAAATATTATTTATTTGTAAGTGAACAAATCCTCATTCAAACAAATTCGGCACACATTTGAAGACGAGTTCTAAATTCTTTATAAGAAGTACGAATTTCCGCCAGTGGTAGAGATTCTATCGCTTTAATTATTCTTAGTTTTAATAGTTCTGCATCATCTTGTAATGGTTCACTGTAAACAACTTGTTTCAATCGTCCCCAAAAATAAAAATCCATAATTGTAAGATGAGGACTACGTGCTGGCCATCAAATAGGACCATTTCGTTCAATCCATTTTTGACGAAATTGTAATTTTAACCATTTGGCACAATGTGTGAATGGTAAGCTGGGCAACTGTCTTGCTGAAAGTACATTGACCGTATAAATTTAAGGGTAATTGGATTTACATCGATCCAATAAAGACAATGCTGGGAAGAAACAATGTCATTTGTTGAGAAACTATCTGAAAAGCAGCGTCTTCCTCGTTTAGTCTCTTTGTCTGCCTCTTTATGGATAATACAGAACCCGTTTCCAAAAATTTTTTCATCAGTTTGCGAGCCCCACATGAGATATTTTTGTGTCCGGATATTTTTGCTGGAATTTTTGTATAACTAAATACAGTACCAAATAAATTCTCTCTTTCACGGTTAACATCGCATGAAAAGACTTAATCTCACCAACATAAGTTGTAACTTTTATGGTTTCTATGGTTACATGTCATAAATTGAACTTGAAAAATTTTCAATTTAGAAAAAAGTCCAATAGTTATATAAAAATTGGAATAATTAGTTAACTTTTATAGTTAGAGTATAAAATTTATGCGATTTAGTAGTTTGAACATATCCGACGCATTATTTATGCTGAGATAGGTTTGAAAAATCAGTAACAAAAATTTTTTTCCTCTTTGTAACTCGATCCGGGGACATACTGTAGATAATAAAAAAATAATCTAACCTAAAAATATTCTTAGTCTGCGTCGTGATCACAGTTTACTTTATAGCATATGTTATTTACTAGGAATGAAGTTGTAACACAATAACATGATAAGCCGGCTTGAGTTACAAATGCTAACGCTGAAGATTACATGCAGATAATAAAAGAATAATCTTACCTAAAAATATTCTTAGTCTGCGTCGTGATCACAGTTTACTTTATAGCATCACTTGTTGCCGCCACGCCCGTCCATTTTGGTGGTTTATCACGTTGTAATCTGCAGATGTTGACGCTGTAGTGTTAATAGAAGAACGAGATTTTAGGACAAGTGGGTCATTTGTACGAATAATTCTGTACAAATTTTATTCTAACACATAGTGTAACATTTAATCAAATTATTTTGACAGCTTTTACACTTTCTTTTCCAACAAAATAAAAACTTAATTTTTCGTTAAATAAAACTAACTGAAAATATACAGTACCTAATGATTTTTTTTTATTTTTTAGGAATGATGGATATAGCATTAATAACAGCAAATGCAAACCAACTTCGTTATCTAATCGAATTCAACAGGAATAGCTCAACATTCTACGTTAACGCTATTTTGATAGCCGTATCTTTACTCCTTCAAGTTGGCATAGGAGTAGCGTTAATATTTAAGGGCCGCTTAGACTTGAAAGGAATGTCTAAAGAGAAAAGCGCCAAGACAATAAACAACCATGTAGTCGTCGGTATCTTCTTAGTAACGATAATTAATGTTTTTGTGGCTACTTTTACTGTAACTGGACATGGCAATGGTTCAAGCGGTGTAAACTAATAGGATTATCTACAAAACTAATCTCAGAAGAAAATAATACCTATGTATATTTTCTTTTATTGTAAAAAGTTTAATAAATTTATATTTAAAGTTTTATAAATCTAGCTTTTAAGTGTTTTGAAAGTACTTTATCTAACTCTTTATTACTAAAAGAATCTGAAACGGTTTCCGCATGGTTTTAACTCTTACAATGAAGACAAATCGTTTCATAGTTGACACATTCACAATGCATCCAAGTGAAGATGAACGAAGTTTCTGGTCTATCTTTTTACTCGTTAACGGGAACGCTTCTCAATTTCTATACGCTTAAAGTGTTAGTTTCGCGGAGACGAATCCGTAAACGGCGGAAACTGTTCCCGATGTAAATCTCTTTTGGTAACGTTTATGGAAACTTTTCGTTCGTAATCCGTATTGTTGCCGTATCGTGGGACGGCACGACCGTTTATATTCATCCTTCCGGAAAGTTTTTCCTCTCCGGAATGTTTTCGTTTCACGATCTAGCATACAATAACGGTGAAATAATGAGGAAGTCCGTACAGTTTCGTTCTCGATACGTTTCAATCTCGGATGGTATTTTCTTGCTGAAGCACCGTGTGATTACTTCGTACTGCCGTCGAGATGTTTACTTCGATCGTGTTTCTATTTAGGTCGAACTATGTAACTTTCCAGAAACTGTTTTCAAGTATACGTTTCGATGTGAATAAGAATTTGTAGCTTATGCAAGTTTAAATATAATGACTATCTAATACCTAATATTTTCTTAAATTCGTTTGAACAAAGCAATAAGCACCCTTGGTTATCCTGTTTTAACTGTCCATCAACTTGTCGACGGGGTATAATTGGGTTGTTCTCGAACATAGGTATTAAAAACACCAAACGGTTTTTTGGAAGGCATTTGACGGGAGCGGGACCGATAAAATGGGTAAAAGCCGTTTTACTACCAAAACCAGCGTCTATTAATTATTCAATCAAAGTCACGTGCATGCCCCGTCAAATTGCAAATTACAAACCGGACAGCATAATACTCACACTCCCGAATTTCGCTTCGCCAACAGATGAAACTGTTTTTTTATTTCGTTTTTGGTAGTGAAATCACCAATTTCAACAGTACATGAAATTTACTTCAATGTTTTATGAAGACGGATATATTTAAAATCTTCGGATTATTCATGTTCTTAATAATTGCTGTAAACTGTGAATATTTATTGTATTTTTGGATACCGTATATAAATAAAATGTATCATAAAATGATGGTCATAGACAGTTCTTGAAAAGTGTTAACGATCTGTACAGAAACGGCTCTTCGCTAAGCGGCAATTTCCCAAGCGAAATGACTCCCACAGCAGAGACGTCACAGTAGGAAAGAATAGTTGGCGAAGCACCACATAAACACAATTTTTATTCGCAAACAAAGCTATTCTAGCGGGAATTGAGTCGACTTTTGTCCACAGCGACTACATATCAGGTGAAACCCAGAAAATTTAAAATTTGTTGAAAATTCTAGAAAAGTTACAATTTATTTTCAATTCATATAAAGTTCTGCTTGTTAATTATGAAAAATTAATGAAATTTGACTAATGAAAAAGTTAACAATAAATTAAAAGTTGTTTTTTCTAAAGATAAAAGAAGGGAATGGCTTCACTATTCTTAAACATGCTGTCATATAATGAATAGAAACTCTTTGAAATATATAGATATTATAATAGAGAGTATTAATAATATAAGTTTTGACGATGATCAAATAGCTAGTGAATTTATAGCAAAATTCTCCTACTTATTGAAAAGCTCGTTTGATCGCCTTGGAAATAATAAGTGTGTTTCTGTGTTTGTGATGATTTCTCACCAAATAAGGAACCATATCTGAAGATACTACCTATTCATATGACGGACGGGCATACACCAACATACAGCATAAAATCGTATACTAGTCGAATCGTTCCACCACGTGTAAACATTTTCAAATCCCATTTGTGGGTTTAGCTAAGTTACATAGTTTATAGGTTGATTAGTTGTTTGTAATCAAAAGTTACAGCAAAAAATTATTTAAGATCCCTTGTATATGCGTAAAATAACACACTTATTGTGTAATCGACACTTTGATGTTCTTCTTGCCGTAGTTTATTGAAGTTGTCTCTGAAGATGTCTAGTAAAGGGCGTATCTTATCTAGCTTGTCATAGATTTAATCTTCTCTTTTAGAATATCTGTAATTATTATCAAAACACTGTTTAATTTTGCAAACCTATGGTGAAGTAGTAGGTCGAGTATCAACAAACAAAAATTGAGAATTATTCTACTGGAGAAATCATAATGTTCTTGCCAAATACTTTCTAGAACTTTAAATTGCTTAAAGTTTATTTGAGTGTTTTCAAATTAATTTTTTCAAAGCAATTATCTTCAACGTACCAAGGATCTTGCTCCCCTTCTTCCCTTATTATATCTCATCTCTACTTACTTCATCAGTAAGCACATCCCAATCGAATTTTGAAATTCGCTGCATGTCTACTTTTAATACACCATTATCTTGTGGTCTTATAGCTAACGCAAATAAATTTGACTGTCTTTGCATTACTTTAACTGCCTTTGGAAGTCCGATATAATTGTTTCGACCTATACGGGATTAACTCAGAAGTGTGGCATGTAAAGAATAGAAACCTTTTCCCCACTACCTTTTCAACTCATAAGAATAGTCATAATTGGATACCTCACAAATATAAATGTTGAATTGATTTACTCTAGCATCTAATGTCCTGGACAATGGAGGCAATGTTTGTATTAATACCTGACTTATTAAAAAACCTTTAAGATCTGCTTCATCTACTCACCTTATGGAGATCTACGTTCGAGAAAGTAAGCAATGGCTTAAGTACTTTCTGATGGACAAGTTTGCTAAAAAATCTTTATGCAACTGCATCATTAACTAAACTGATTTCCATTTGATTTAGTACACTCTTGACTTCTGACTTCGGTTTGGAGATCAATGTTCGAGAGAGTGAGCAATGGCTTATGCACTTCCTCTACGATGAGTTTTGTCAAAAATCTTTGAGCAACTGTATCACTACGTGTTTATATTGCATATACATATGACATGTCAAAAACTCTTTGAGCAATTACATCATTACAACAAAATAGAAAATAGACGCAAATGTCTCTCATTGAATGTGGCCTACCTTTTATTTACCTTCTGAAGACTTATGGTCGAGAAAGTGAGTATTATCTTTAGTACTTCCTTGCCAAAAAAACGTTTGAGCAGCCGCTTCATTACATGTTGCCGTTCTTGCATTATTATACCTGACTTATCAAAAACCTTGGAGCAATTGCATCATTACTTATTGCTCTGCAGAATATAATGCATCCCATATGGAAACCTATGTTAGAGAAAGTAAACATTGTCTTAAATACTTTCTTTTTGGTAAGTTTGTCAAAAAATCTTTGGGCAACTGCTTCATTACGTGTTGCTGGGGTTTATATTGATTTCCATTGGGTTTAGTAGATCTGTGACTTCTCTTATGGACACCTTTGGTCGAGAAAGTGAGCAATGTCTTAAGTACTTCCTTTCTGATTTGTGCCACATCAACTTGGAACCCCTTTTTTCATTAATAATAAAACGTAGACTGATTTGCGATATTAAGTGGTGTACAGATGATTCTTTTTCTTAAAGTGCGCTACGATTTTCAATATTATTACTCAATAATTACTAAATTTTAAGCGTTTCAGGCCTAATAATCGACTTTTTGCTCATTGATTCGTTTGTGTCTTGAATGCGCAGAATCGATTTGGTCCAAGAAAAGCTTTTTGCATAACAAATAATTCCTTGGAACATGTACAAAGATTGTATTTATAGATTTTGTGGTATCGTATCGATGGTATCTATCATCTTAGAAGTATTGATTGCCACAATTTACCCGTGTGTCTGGAAAAAATCTCATTATTAACAAGTAAGGTTGCGACTGTAAGATTTTTATTTACTTCAGTGGAAAATATAGCCGATTGCTTACAGATATTATGTAATCTTAACTTTACCGATCTCCTGATTCAATATCTCTTTTCATCGTAATATTAATAGCACTTCTATGAAATAAAAGGTGTTTGTTTGTGAAAAATCTTGTAAGTTTATGGAGCACTAGTTGGAAAAAAAATTTATTATAGATTTTTACTCATTTGAAAACACTTTCCTTGAAAGAGGCCGTAAATAAACCAAAAGGAATAATTTGTTAAATAATTGGACAATGAGCAAAACCAACACCAACAGTGTTTTTTCCAATTATATTCAATAGGGAGACTCGCTGAGCTATTATTATTACCCCTGATTGTTTCAAAACACAAATGTCATAAGCAAATTTTATCACAAGAATTTTTAATATTCTCAAACGGTATTTTTGGGTAAATATACACGATATGCGATTCAAAATCACCTAAAACGCAATTAGTTTTGTTTCTTTTAAGTTATTATTTTTGAAAAATCTAAGAATAATTCAAATTTTAGTTATGAAAAACTTTTTAAGCTGAAGTTTCTTTTTATAAAGTTGGATAGAAAGGATATTTTTTCTTCTCACCAAAGCCGATCATTTAGGTTCGAACTAACGACCGTTCTCCCAAATGAGAACGAAACTTCAGTTCGACAGGAGATCGATTAAACTGTCCTAACCTCGGTTTTGGCATGAAATCACGGGGGCGGCACGTCAACCTTCCGCCTTATTAAATAAAATTTCAGAGGTTACTGGAGTGTGAGCTTAATCTGTGCGCAAACCAACTTTAATCATCAGCGTCGCCCCTACTCTTTCCACGGCTCCAGAGTTTGTTAGGAGTTGTAGCAAACTTTTGACCCGGTCTACTATTTACGACTCTAATAGTCTGTGAATTGAGTTTAGTTCGTATTTATACCGAAACAAAAAATAAGTAACCGATAAATAAGCAACACCGCAAAGAGGAAGAAATCAAAAACCGGGATAACATAAACAGTATTTTTTTTAATTAATAAAAGCAGGGTTATTGATTAATGCTACCTTTACGATTAGTTAAACCGAAAACATGGAAGATATCGTGATTACAAGTCATTATCTCCAACTATGAAGGACTCAACACGAACTAGACAT